TGACAATATATGAATTCCAAGTCTGTGATATCTATAGTGTGCTTATGGGTGCAGTATAAATGCATTATAATTCACTATAAATGCCCTCATAACGCATTATAGATGTGGTCTTCATAGAAAGTGTTACCATGACTTTTGCTGTTAATCAACTAATTGATTGATCAACTGATCACTGCAGCACTCTAGTTTGGAGAAATCAGGTGCAGTCTACAAGTAGAGTGGGAGAGTATTTAAAGTATAAGCTCCTTTTCATCTGACTGTTTATCCCGTCTTCAATAGTCTCTTTCTCAGGTGAAGCATAAATGAAATGAATCTGACAGACATGTATTATGCATCACACCGAGCTGTCTGGGGATCTGTGCTGTATGTAACATCAAAAAACCTCTAATTGCTGATTATGTACAGACTGTAAGATGACCAAAAGCAGAAAACTTTCCTCTTTTCATATTAAGAGTACAAATAAAAGGATATTGAAAGTTAATAAGTAATGCAATTATGATTTATGATCGCTCTTAAATGTATTACATTGCACTGCAGTGGCTTTGAATCCGTCTGACTTAAAAGAGAAAGCCTGGGGCAGCGACTTAGCCCCCCGAATGTTTGTGAATTAATGAAAAATGAATGAATCACTACTGAGCTACAAGTATCGGCATGAGCTCTGTGACTTTACCCTCAAAGGATATGCCCGCTGGTAAAAGAGCATGACAAACACAAGGGTCCATTTGCAGCATCAAGAATATTCCAAGCAAATCACAAGGAGGAAACTTTAACACTCAGCCACGTTACTGAACTAGCAGAGGGGAGACCAAAGTGTTTATTCATCGTTTCAGACCCCCAGACGACTCCCCTAGGAAGTACCCACATCTCCAGACATATCATCTTTTATTCATCGCCGTGGCAACTAATGAGCCGATCTCTGGATTCAGACTAAAAGGGATGTCTGCCTGCTTTTTCTGGTAATAAAATAAGACACATTTTCCCTGCTCGGGGTATATTTGGGTTGGTGTTTCGATGTTTTCACGTCCAGTACTGTATGTTCACATTTGAGCCCACGCTTGAAACCCTTGCAGCTCGCACAACAGCCCTCGGCCACGGCTCTGCCCAACATGATTTAGGAATTCTGATCCGCTTCTGATTTGTTTATGCACGGATGATGTTCTCAGGAGATACACGAGAATCAATACAAACAGTGTTTATTTGACAAGCACGCCGGTGTAGCTCAGGAGGCGCAGATAGAAACTGAGCAGCAGCGACTGTAATAACATTATTCCTCATCTCTCTGTCTTGTTCCCATGGACTGTCAGCCCATATAAACATTCAGAGCCAGGTTAGAGAGGAGGGAAGTGAGCTGCAATTCATGCCCTGTTCCACACTTTATTAACCGTTTTCATTTTTCATATTCTAATCTCTTTAGCATCCTGCTCTGCCATCCCTTGCTTTCTGAAATGCCTAATGTGATTGCTTCCTATCTCCACATGTCTGGTGCATAATGGAGCTGTCTCAGAATCATCCTGTGCTGCAGGAGGAGCATTTTTGTAAATGCAGTATTACTTCTGGTTATTTAAACTGCACTTCAGCCCGATGTGATAGACGCTGACAGAGTTGGTGTCTGCGGGGGTTTTCTGGGTAGGATATTTGCAATACTGCATAACACCATGCCTTTAATTGCAATGAAACAATATGTGTGATTAGTGAATTTACACTGCAGACGTGATAGATCATAAGAACGGAGACTTCAGTCTTTCCAAGTCTCCTAATCTACTGAAGTCTGAAGGTTTAAGAAATGACCTCCGCCATCAGGTCATGACCTCAAGGTGTGATGTCAGATAGGCGGAGGGAGCAGTGACTATGGGGGGATTTAGATATTCAAATATAAATCAGGGACCCAGATCTCTATCTCTCTCTCCCTCATTTCCTCATATAATCTTTTATAATCAGCTAGGGCTGGGCAACATGGCCTATCAATAATATTGTAATATTTTTAGGCCATATTGTGATACATGATATGTATCTCTATATTTATAAACACTAAACTACTCAACAAACTACTGTGAAAATCAAGTTTTAAAAAAAGTGCTATCATAAAAAAGTTTTTTTTTTTTTTTTTTTGGGTGTTTTTACCTTCACTGACAGTACAGCTGAAGATAGACAGGAAAGGTGGGAACGAAGAGAGTGGGGTTGACATGCGGTAGAGGGCCGCAGGTTGGAATAGAACCCATGCCGCTGCAAAGGACTCGGCCTAAATGGGGCGCACGCTCTACGAGGTGAGCTAGCGGTCATTCCAAATACAGTATTTTTATAATAAAGTTAAATAAAGTACTGTTATAATAAAGTTACACAAAGTAGCCTACTGTTATTACACAATTAATTAAAAGTAGTTTCATATTTAAGTTAAAGTTAAGTTGATCAGAGTGGAACTACTGGTGCTTTTATTTTGAGGGACACGGCTGATCTCAGGCCAGGCCAAGTGTTGATGTTTCTGCTGTAAACTTTAGCCTAGTCTGGTCAACAGTTACATGTTACTGTGACAGTTAATGGAAAGCTTAATCGCTACAGTGGTGCCGTTAAACGTGAGGAGGATTTATTCACTGTGAGCTGGAAACAAACTAATACCCCTTATTGACACTCATGGGCTTGCTTGGTTTGGCTTGTCTTGGTTTGGGCTGAGTAGAGTCTCGCAACACACACGGCTTGTTTGGGGGGAGATGGGGGGGGGGGTCATCGGGGGTTGGCTGTGGTTGGCGAGACATCACCACTACCAGACCATGGGCGGATGGCCCGGCTCTTGGACCTACTCCAGAGAAGGTCCATCTTCAGCTTGGCTTGGCTTGGCACGGCATGTCTAAACTGACAATGTAAACAAAAATCGGCACAGCATGGCTTTACTCAACGCGGCCAAGAGTGACAATGGAAAAAGGGTCTAACAGCACTCTAGTTAGTTAATACATTAATAATATTTGCAAGATGCACTGGTGCTCCATGGTTGCAAAAAGCGTCTAAATGGTTGTGGTATTAAGCCCTGCAGATACAAAAACACAGGCTTCATCTGCTCAGACACTATTGCCCAGGAGAGGGTGGTCTGGATGGGCGAAGAAGTGTGTATGTAACGCATCATAATTATGAGCCTTATTTATTTATTTATTTTTTTGGTCTGTAAGAGGCTGACAGGCATAGGAGAGCGCAAAAGAACAAAAACGCCAAAGCGAGTCTAACGCAGATGACTTAAAACGATATGACAGTTTATACTTCATGTTTGCAACATAGTCATTTCATACATCACACATGAAACAAACTGTGATATATATAAAATCGATACATCACCCATCCCTACTGTCAACTATCTTATAAGAGGTATTTAAATGCCCAAGAATAATGACTTGAAGAGAGGAAGAAAGTGGGCTCTGACTGTCCTTGATTGACCTACAACTATGTATCACACTGTGCACTAGGATTACAATGTGTAACATATGTGGTCAGTGATTCAGCAAAATGATAAGAAAACACATTACAGCACAATCCTTATACTTGAGCTGACTTCCTCTCACTGACCCCCCTCCTGTCCCTCTTCAGTGCGGAGAAGAGTCAGAATATGAGAGAAAAAGGGCCACAGTGGAAAATTAAATCAGCAGTTTTACTGATGGTGATGACTCATCACAGTGACATCATAAAACCATCAGCTCTCGCTGAGCCAATCATTGCTCGTCTGGCTCTGACTCATCAATTAGAGGAGCAGACTGGGCTGATGTTTGAAGGGTGGCCGTCCAAGGGCAAATCAAGGACGATGGTAACTCCATTTTCATGGCAGTTATTAAAAGCATGTCTGGCTGCGTGGAGAATTCGCTGATGGATAATCGTTGTTTGGCTGCATAATATATTTAACTAGCCATCAGATGCTGCTTCTGCCAACCCTAAACACACACAGCGTCTGGTTTCCTCCAGGATTCTGCCTCTAAACATGAGACTGCAAATTGTCTTCAACAATGAATCTATCATTCTGCTCCGAGAGAAGAGGGTGCGTGCATCTGTGTACGTAAAAGACAGCATTGGCTTGTGCAACCTGAAGCAGACATGTGCATTTATGTGTATAAATTAAAATCAGCGAGAGTTCCCAGCTCACAGGTCAAAGGTCGGATGCAGTCAAGGGACTCATCATTTATTGGCAGATTCAAGCCATCAATCAGATGGACAAGCGCTCGCTCTCTAGCTCAGCCGGAGAGCGAAGACTGAGGGGGTGGAGTAACGGATACTGCTTCATGACCACTGATGCGATTACTTCCTCCAAGGGCACAGTGCAGGGAGGCAGTATTAGCGTATTACATTCTCCCACAATACCACTCTGTCCTAATCGAACATATGTAGCTCTGCAGTAGTGCGTTCGTCTGCTCCTCACATATTCTTTGGTGCAAGAAATAATGTGCAAATGCTGAAATAGACTCTGGCTGTTCATTTTCATCTTTGCTGACGCTGAGGTTTTAGTGTGTGTGTGTGTGTGTGTGTGTGTGTGTGTGTGTGTGCGCGTGTGTGTGCCCTCTCCATGGTAACCTTCGAAGAGCACCAGACGTCATAGATCACTGGTTTTCCCTCCGCAGACAAGAGAGAGTAAAGGAGGGAGGGTAAGAGGATGAAGGCAGTGATGGGGTGATGGAGGTGATAGGTAATTCTGCCTAATACCCTGGATGAGAAAGAGCCAGATTCTTAAGGGGGATGAGTTTCTTCGCTGGATGACTGCCTCTGGGGTCATGAGGCCGGCGTTGTTGTCCTTTATCAATCCTCGTCGATTGACAGATTTTTGGCGGAGTGGGATTGCTCTAAGAATAGATTAGCCCACTTCCTGCAGTGTATTGAGGTCAAAGTATGTGACTATTGGCCATTGAGGAGTGATTCTAGCCATGCTTGTTGAATTGTTAATCCATATGCTTTGTATCAATAGTCGGGAAGAAAACTGTTGAGAAAATGTGCCTGATGTATAGCAGTCGAAGACGGTGTTATGGAATACTGACCGACTTGGAGGACTCTAACGATCCCGAGGAGAGGGTGTCCCGACTGCTGCGGCTCTTGGAGCTGAGGTGCGGTGAAGAGGACGGTGAGTCATCGATGTACGGCAGGATGTCGTGGTGCCTCCGCTGCTCCTCTGCGCGGTCTGCATCGTAACCGTACGTGGGAGGGGTTCCGGTGAAATGACCATCTGTGACAAGAGAAAACAAGACCTTAGATTTGTACCTTTTACACAGCTTTCTTTCAACCACTTTTAATGCAGACATTTAGACGCTCTTTGCAAAAACTCAAACTCATGCCACCTGTGAAGCTTTCAGCACTGCATTCAGTGTAAAACAGGACAAACTGGGAATTATAAAACTGACATTTGGTGATGCCAAACAGTCTCCTTGCACTGCTTCAGTAAGTTTAATCTACCAAATATCCATAAAAGGAATGGTTCACGTGCAAAATGACCATTTGTATATTAATTGCACGTAGCGTGAAGCAAACAGTTTTTCTCATATGCCTCCATGATGGATGGAGAATCCAAAAAAGGACAACGTTCTTTATAAATTGAAGTAAATGGGTACTTTGTTTGACAACAGCAAAACCATATCAAAACATCCAAGTACTTCCTAATTAACAGCATCTTATCTTCTTACTGTTGCTAAAATTCCAATTTGTTGCCACATCAAACTATAAACATTATTAATCATTAATAAACAAGTTTCAACCATAAAATCTGATCATGTTTTGGACCTTGTCCACTTCTGTGTCGGGATCGGCTGCAGACTGACTTGGCAGAGATGGCTGCCATCTTGTTTTTACATGGATTAGTGTAGTGTGCTCTTACTACCACTAGTTGGCACTAAAAGTGTCCATGAACAAGGACAGCAGGTCTAAGTTAAGCAGAATTAAGTATAAGGGTCAAGTAAACCCAAAATCTGATGTCCTCATATGAGGACGCAGGCTATCAAGACGTTTAAAACACTTCTGTACGAACAGTCTCAGGCATGGATTCAATTAAACCTTACTGCCCTCGCAAGTAGCACTAGAAATACTGTTACCTTTTGGCAAAAATGCATGTGTATGGGAAGTATTGAGCATATGGCTGGATAAATGAGACTTGGAAACAGAGTTTGTAAACAGCTGTTTTTTTTTTTTTGTTTTTTTTTTAAGATTTTTTTTGGGCATTTTGCCTTTAATGAACAGGACAGGTAAATGTGAAAGGGGGAGAGAGAGAAGGGGGCATGACATGCAGCAAAGGGCCACAGGCTGGATTCGAACCCGGGCTGCTGTGGCAACAGCCTTGTACATGGGGCACCTGCTCTACCACTAAGCCTATGTTTTAATATAGTTTTGCTGTTGTTAACTGCAGACCCCACCCATTTTAAATGAAAAATGTTTGCCTTTTTTGGATTCTCCGTTCACCCTGGAGGCAAAAAAAATAAAGCTTTCATTACAAACTCAAGGTAACACGCTGTGAGGAACTGATACACAAATGGTCATTTTGCAGGTGGGTGAAGTGTTCCTTTAATGTTACCTGTTCCTTTACAATGCACACTGGGTAGATCCATATCTTACATCTGCTGGCTGGCCTCTCAGGAGGTTGTCATGCATTGTAGAGTTAATTTCCACCACTAATTAATGCGGCTCTAGAAACTGGGGCACACAAAATGAGTTCCCCCCTGCATCTTTGTTCAGGCACTCATACAAAAACATAAAGCTCTGAGAGGAAGCACTTGAAGAGGCCGACTACAAACTGGGTCAAGGTTCAAATAATTTCAACAGCGAGTGCAGCATCTCAGGGGAAATTTTCAGCAACCTCCCACTGACCTGCTTCTGCGGTGGGCGCTATCACTTTTTCTTTGTGGAAAAATAACAGCACGGGCAGCACAAAGTGGTTTTGCGTATGATTATGTGCGCTGCCCTTTACAAGGAGAGGTGGGAGAGACAAGAAGAGCTATAAATAAAGGTCAGGGAGCGAACAAACTACAATTTGACTACAAATGACTTTGCTTTATGACGTCACACTCAGTGAGGTGATGCATTCCATTTGAGTTCAAGTTGTAGCTTCCAGCGAAAATGCTTTGGTGAGTTCAGATTGTTCAGCTTCCAGGAGGAGACAGTCAGTGGTTTGGGGAATCGTTTGGTGCGTAACAGCTGAAGGGAAGACATCATGCATCTGAAATGCAACAGAAGACCTTTTGCTCATCTCCTCCCACTCCTACATTCAACAGAGTCGCACTTCTCAGAGAGCTGGCCGTGCCTCCTCAGTGCTGACTCACACTAATAACATGCCAGGGCACTTTCTGGAGTCAAACACACAAACACGCAGGATACACGCCAGTTTGCACCATTTATAAGCATCCTGCAGCCGAGAACACACAACTACTGAAACAGTTTGTACCCCTGTTGCCTCTACAGTCCCCCTTTCATTGTGTTTAATGAATCTTTGGCTTACACCAGCCTAGACATATGCTCTTACAGTCACAGGTCATAGCGTGAGCAAAAAAGAGGCAGAAAGAACAATGCCAGAGTGTCCAGGGCTCATCTGACCTTCAGCCCACCCACTGCTCGCTCCGCGTACTCGCTGCCGCCTGTGGGCGGGTGCTGCCCACTGTGCCTGATTCGACCAGCGGCATCCTGCCAAGCAAAGACCAACATAGAGGCTCTGTGTGTGTGTGTGTTTGTGTGTGTGTTTGTGTGCAAACAGTCTCTTTGCACAATGCCAAACCACGCAGCAAACAAAACTGAGTAGCTTACTTCATTCATTTTTAGGTCTTAGTATGAGTCTCTGCTGCTATTTTGCAACCCTTACACATAAGCTGTTATTTATATTTCATCATTTCCATAGACTCCTGCTTAATGTGTTGTTGTGTTCATTAACACCTTCCTTTATCCTCTCCTTCAGCCTTTTCTAACTTGCAGTGTGATGACTGAATTGCCCTGTAGTATCACTTTAGGTTATATTTTATTAGGACTGCGGCCTAATAGTTGGCCAAAAGTTAGTCGACCGGAAAGGTCATTTGTCGGTAAGATTTCATTGGTTGATTAAACACGGGAAAAAAAAGTGAAACTCTATTATGAGCTGTGTCTTGTCAAAATAAATACTAACTTAAATAAAATTTGTATGACAGGACCATGTGGGAATTTAATTTGAAAGGACAGACACAGGAAGTGGCCACGCTCAGCAGGTCAGACAGGAGTCACATTAATTTCCAGGGCTGGTACCTGTGGTTATTCCACAGGCTAGTTAATAACATGTCGGGCAGCAGATCCAAAGTGTGGGATCATTTTGAGAAGGTGAAGGACGAACCCAAGGTGATATGTAAACTCATCTTCATTGGTCGACTACAAACATGACGTATCATCTGAAACATGGAAGTAGCTACATGCCCATTAGCCACTTAGCACAATCATTACTGCTTTGCCCACAGCATTAACAGTCGGCTCGCTCAGTGTGTGACGTGCACTTGTAGATAAAATATAGGCCTATATTAATGAAGGTTCATTAGTACGGTTTGTATTTCTCTGTAATGTAGCACAGTGTTAACAATGTTACTGATACTATTCTCACACCTTCAACTCAAACCATTGTGTTTAATAATTAAATTAATATCATAAACATGCAGGTGACTAGTCGACTAATGGCCCTAGATGACGACTATTGGTCGACTAGGAAAATTTGTAGTTTTCGTAATATAGCACCTTTAAAAACAGAGTTTACAAAGTGCTTTGACAGACAAAGCAAATCAGCAGAAGGTAATATAACAACGGTAAGACAATGAAAAGACAATAAAAAGATGCATCACATAAAAGAATCATCTGTAAAGATGAGTTGTAAGAGGAGATTTAAAAGAAGTCAGAATTATCTCCTCAGGCAGGTTATTCCAAAGCCAAAGGGCCCTGACTTTGGAACGATCAGAAAGGCTCCACCTGAGGATCTTAGGCTGTGACTGGCTCGTATTGGGTCAACATTTCTACTATAGCTTGGGGCCAGAAACAGACGTGCCTTAAACGTGATGGGAAAAATCCAATTCTAAATCCAAAGAAAGGAGCCAAAGGAAAGCAGCGGGACAAGGGTGATGTCATGTTGTCTATTAAAAACTGGAAAGAAGCTTTTATGTATTTATAAAGCATGTACATACATTCACCCACAGCAGGGTGCAGCTCTCTCTATTTATAGTAGCTAGCGTCACTGAGTTGCCAGATCTAACCTTTTTAAAGCTTGTTAACATTTTAAGGACTAGAAGTACGGGGTGTGGATGTGAAAAACACCAAGTGTGAAAAGTGGCATCCTGACATGTTTTTCTTTTTACAGTCTTTGCTCCCAAACCCCACCCTCTGTGTGTTCATGTGAGGGAACATAACATCTCCAGCTGACTTATTTTAATCTTCCTACCACCTTGCTTTGGAAACATGCTGTCACTAGAAACACACTGAGGTTGTGTGCATGTGTGTGTGTGTGTGTGTGTGTGTGAGGAATGCCTGCAGTGCCCACACAACCCTGAGGCCAGAAATATTGAGCATCCAAACAACATTTTTTAGGCTGTAACCACCTCTTGGTTAAAAGGGGGCGCAGACTCAAAACCACAGTGAATAATAATGATAGATAAAATATACGACACGCCAAATGAATCACCGCAGCGCTGACTTTGACTAAACAGTGTGTCTTCTGGGGTATATGTGTCTCCAAGGTACAAAAGCTACAAGGTAAATAGCTCCAGTTTTTCTGCTTTTTGCAAATAAAACATCCAGAGGTTTTCTTTTATAAACAGACGAAGGATTCATAGAGGAATTACTCGTTGGCTTGCCTTATATAGTGTTCACCAATATCTTCTAACCAGCAGTTTCCAGTGGGGGAGGGACTGAGCTTTACAAGTCTGTTAATGGGTCACTATAGCCTGTGGTCGTTAAACACTAGGCTTCATTCTGTCCACGTCTGACCTCATCTCGGCCCAGACGCTGCTTCTAACGCCGCCCTGAGTCAGTTTCTCCCTCTATCTCTCACGCTCTTTGTTTGTGGGCCCCTGCATCTCCACATATATCTAACTTCCTCTTTCTTTACCTTGTGCCGTCTCTTCTCTTTACCCATCCTGTGAACAGATTGCTTGTGTTTACGCTGATTTGTGGCCTCCACAGCTGGCCTTTTCATCCTCACGCTGCTCACAGATCAGCATCTTGCTCCTCCTGCCCTGAGCTGCC